TCCGGTCGACGAAATCGGTGCAGTTCAGAACCTTTCTATGAAGTGTGCGGTAAAAAAGTCGTGGTTGACTTTGGTCGCAAGGTTATAAAGCACACACTCCAATCATTTCCGTGATCCTGGCCTCCCTTGGTTTGGCTCTGACAAGTTGCATTCAGGACGAGCCTTTGGAAAATAACTCTGGCTGCTTTCTGGTCGATAACAACCACGCCTGTTCAGTATGCACACACATGTCTTGGCAACCTCCTGCTGTTTTACTTTGCTTTGAGCTCTTTTCGGTTACTTTTTGATGAAAAGTGCAAAGTTCTGATGGTCCCGAAGGATTAAAGCCGCCACAAAATCACTGCCCTATCGGACCCGGCCGGGCCATGTCACTGAAGTTGAGAATAGCGGTGGAAGAACGGGACCATGGCTCCACTTCTTGTAAAAGGTACAATGGAGGTGCGTACAATAAATCAACTCGAGAAGAGAGTTTGACGTAGGGAATGAGGCCAGGTATCAGTATAACGGACGAAATAATTGCTCGGACTATCTTGCTCGCTTGGTGTGTTAGTATGCAATGAACGCTTCGGCCACTTCACTCTCCGGCAGTCGTCAGTTTTTATGGAGTCCTTAGAAGGGTTGAATGATGCTTGGTGTTCAGCCATGTACACACCACAACCCGAATTCTCTCTTTGGTATTGCTGGGATTCGAACCATGGGCTTCTGAATGCGAGCCAAATGATCAATTTTGTTCTTTCCCGATTAGCTGAGTTGGTACAGCACTGGACTCGCAGTCAGAAAACCCTGGTTCGAATCCAAACAACTTCAAGGACAGAATTCGGGCTGCGGCACGTGCACGCCTGAGAGCCAAACATCTTCCAGACCTGCGAAGGACTCCACAACACCCCACGATGGCTAAAGAGCTAACTGACCGAAGTGTTGTGTGCATATTAGCGTACCAAGCGATCACGATGGCTCAAAATTTTTTCCGTCTAGATAGAAATTTGCCCCGCCGCGTTTGGAAAGTTCCTACCCTGCTGAATCCTTCTCGTTAAGCCTACGATTCATTCGCAGTCACTGAATGCACAGGTGGAAAATATGTCATGGTAGGTGTTGCGTACACTACACCAACTTTCATCGAAATTACCACAATTGTCCCATTTTTGCTGTAAGATGCTCATTCCAGAAGTACTACCACACCTGCTTACCAAGATAGTCCAGACCCGACAACGATGTTAGTACGGTATGCAATCAGTAGCTGTCAGTGCTCAATACACCACGCAGTGTTGAGCTTCTCCGACTGTTTTCTTCTATGCATTTTCGCTGTTTTCGGCGTGAGAACAACTTCCAAACAAGATGGAACCATAGCTTTTTGAAACTCTGTTGACTATGGGAACGAGAAACTCGCACGGCTTACAGGCTTAAGCGTCGGAGAATGCTAGCTTCGCCCGTCGGTAAATTCTGCCTGCCCGGAGTGGCGCTGGAGCGCGAGCGATTTGCAGCGTAGTTTAACACAAAGTTTTGACCTCCTTACAGATTAATCTGTATGCATTTGAGAGCATGTCTTCTTTGCGCTCTCGCATGCCTGCGGGCGTGTCGGGGCTGGATGTGTGGCCATTTTGGACTGGCCTGATGACACGTTTATCACAAGAGCATTAGCTGATGGGGTGTGCAGCTGTTCGATGAGTCCCGTAAAAGCACCGTTAGTTCTGGACGTAGGGCGTCCCACTCTGAGTGATGCTTTAAAGCTATTGCGAATGACAAGTTTCGGACCCGAGCTGTGGGCTATAAACTATGCTGAGCCATTCCTACGCTGCAAACATTTTATTTCTACAGCACAACAGTGCTGACTGACTTGTCGCAGTACTTCAGTCCACACACAAAGTGTGCTTGCATGGGCTTAATTGCACTGCTCTCAACGCATTTGTGGGCATTAGTTATCGCCGCGTTGTCTTTTGTATCAGTTGTCTGCACTAGTCTGGTGTAAATTTCGGTTGCGTGATTCATTTAACTGCAATCCAGATACGTCCTGAAAGCGTCTGCACTTAAAGGCCCGCCAAGAAGACGTACGACGCGACTGCCCATGGCTTCAGAATTAATTGTCTTGATGCTTGAGAACTTCTGGCAACTCATCTGTTCTCTCGACTTTCAGCTCGAAATGCACGCTGCGATGCAAGTGCTTTAATCCCCGCTTGTGAAGATTGTTCACTTGTGAATGGGCAGCAAACGTAACTGAAGCCGTTGATTCAGCGCTAATTCAGCCAACTAAATGGCAAGGCAGAAATCGCGAAAATAGCTGCCGACTTGCGGACCTACGTCGCCTCAGCGCACCGTGGCTTTACCCGGATGTCGACACAAAATGGTTTATTATTCCTATACATGCTTCGAGTTTCAAAAGGCTCTTCTCTGTATCTGTATTCACAATTTTGACTGTGCGATCAGCATCACAAAGACATAATTTCGTCAGTAGGCACCAGCTCTGTTGAGCTATCTTTGCAAGTGAATGCGTTACGTGTTAATCTAAGCCGACTCAGCACAGTGCCCAAAATATATATGATGTCTTACGGTCGCGGCATTTACCACAGTCATAACCGGCAAGCCATGGACTGTGACGTCACTCTTACCACCCTTGTCGGTCGGCATCAAATGATGTCGACTGAAGATTCAACGCGTCTTGATTTTTCGGTAGTCTAGAGACTCTTGTTCTGATCATCGAGACCGGCTGTCCCGACTACTGGAGTACCAAAGGCAGTTGAAGTGAAGCAACGTCGTTTGTGCCGCGAGATGTTTTTATGGCAGCACATCGGCTCTTTCTGGTGCAAATTATGCGCATTGAAGTAACACACTAGTTTGGCATCAAACACTATCATTTGACGTCCTAATCCCAACCCCAACTCACTTTGACTTCACACAGGCAGTAGCAGCGTCCCGGCACACGAGATGACGCGTCGCTTCAGATTCAGTCCCCTGCTCTCCAAGCGGAACGCGTTGTACGTTGCGTGGGTCCTCGATCCCACCGTCGTCTTGTATTGCACAGCATTCACTCATTTTCAGTCGCACAAAACTAGCTAACTTAACTACCTTACCGCGTTCAACCAGAGGCGCTCGACTCATATAGATACATGCGTCGCTCCCGACAAACATTTCAACTACTATGTTCGCTTGGCCGATGTTCACGGCCAAAACGAATAATTGCTCATGGCATGAAGGTTTTACGATATACCATGTACTGGATCCTCACCTTTAAAATGAAAGGCTGCCTTAACAAGCCTACATGGTAGATGCCCACTAACAAAACTGTTACATGTCTTTAAATGGGAATGTTGCACATTTTTATGAGGTTTTTAGCTGAGATAGCCATTTTGAAGATCATTCCATGGACTTTTACACCCCAGCCCTTTCAAGACCTAAAGCCCTCTAATTTCCGAGCTACACGCCCGCGAAAATGTGCAGTAAAGTACATCCTGAATGCTTCAAAGGCATTCAGGCACATATGCTGTCATGGCAACATCATTATAATTCCAATACCCCATAAGCCGTGCGGCGTTCAGGGCCAGTGCGTACGATACCGCCAAACCGTTCAGATCAGACCGTTCAGATCAGGTCAGATCTGATCGTAAGAACGATTTCCAACTTAGGTGGGCGCCAGTCAGCTCGCAGTGAGCAAGCTGAAGAAGATCCAATCGTTAGTTTGGTTGTTTGATTGTTTGGATTAGAGCTCTTGAGACCAGAAAATATCACTTCAGGGCTATGGGATGAAGGAAGAGGGCCTATGGTGGGGCAATTGTTCATACGCCTGGGGGGCCAACCCCGCGCTTCACCTGCGTGTGTGCGCTGGGAATCCGATAGAGTTTCCCCTCCCTCGGGGCTCTCGGTCCACTGGTGGCTGGCAAGTGCAGTCTGCCCCGGACAAGCGGGGTGTAGCAAGGATGAGGGATGAAGCAAGATAGAGCTGAGCGGGACGGACCTCCAATCATTAGTTTGGTTTTTGGCTTTTAGATTAGAGCCCTTTCGACCAGAAATGATCATTTCAGAGCTATGGGATGAAGCAAAATGGTTCACGGAGGGGCAGACTTCCATGCGTCTGGAGAGGGGGGGGGGGGCCGCCAAGCTTTAAATTGCGCATGGGCGCTGGGTACCCGTTCGGGGGCCCCTTCCAACGCTCCTCTTCGGGGGCCCCTCGGGGCGCTCGGCCCGCTCGTGGCCGACGCGTACAGCCTGCCCCGGACAAGCGGGGTGTCGCGAGGGTGTAGGATGGCGCAAGATAGGGAATAGGAGAGCTGGATGTCCAAGCATTAATCGTGTTTTGTGCTAAAAAATATGCGAAGTTGGACATGAATGCTAGTGATTAAAGAAACAAAACATACACCCCAAGAACGCAATAATAACGTCATAACAGATCACGTAAGCACAAGTTAACATCTTTAACTCATCGATAAATACACAAGAACAGCACGAGAACGGGTCGAAACACGAGCGCATAACGATATTTGGTTTAGAGAACGCTTTTTAAGCACCGCCGCTGCCGTCTCCCAGCGCATTAAGTACTGGAAGTTAGTGCTAGGTGGCAATTACGCACGGCTAGTTTGGCAGCACTTCAGCATCATACAAACGCTTCACGACACAAACAAACAATGACGTCTTGCGAAGCATATTTACTAGATAGAGAAATTGTGCTGTCTAGAGCAATCTTTTCCGCTTAAAAGTATACCAACAGTTATAAGTGAGCTTATTTTATCACATCTGATGTTTGCTTCAATGCCTTCGGGCATGGAACATTCCCTTTCATTGGTCATTTTGGAGCCAATGTACATGGAAGTGTATATATATATATATATATATATATATATATATATATATATATATATATATATATATATATGCATACGTGTGCTAGTAAATATCGTAAATATCGCGTGGTTCAAAACATCGTAAATCGCACAACTTATCGCTAATATCACAACAGAACAACGTCTGCAACATTTGGAATGTGGCGTGCCCAGACCGGTGCCACCATGCGCTCACACAACGGTTACTGGAATGTAATGGATTCCATCCTTCGTCTGCTCAGTAAACTGGCCGCTGACGGACGTAGCCGACACCGCTTGGCTAGCGCCGGTTCGGCGGCCGACAGTCTGCGGGTTGGGCCGCCAGATGTCAGGACTGGAGGGGCTGCGTTTCCGGCGCTCGCGCGACCGCGGGTGGCACAGGTCGGGCGCGGCGCCGCCGCCGGCCCGCGAGAAGTCCTGGTGGCGCGCCGAGCGGCTTTGGACGCTGCGCACAGCGGGTCTGACGTCATGGGCGCCGTACACAGCAGACCAAGCATCGTCACGCTGCGCTTCACGGACGCTGTGCGCGGCAGGCCCGACCCTGGGCACGCTGCACACAGCGGACCGTCTGTCGGCGCTCGGGTACAACGAGAAAATCCTACTGTTCGATCCAAACAGACTGGCCGTGGCATCAACGCTGTGCGGTGTGGCAGGTCCCGAGCCTGCGGTGGAGCAGGCGCCCGCCCCGGGGTGCCAGTCGGGCGTCAGCGTCAGCGTGAGATCGGGCTCGAACAGGTCCCAGTCTCGCCCAGACGGACTGTACAGATCCGGCGACGCGGCCCCAAACAGCTTGGTCGTGCGGCCGGCGATGTCGCAGCGCGCGCAGGCGTCCTCGTAAGGCCAGTAGCGCGGCCAGCGCAGGCCGGCGTCCGGCCCGCCGGCCGCCGGCTTGTGTGCGGCGGTGCAGGCGGCGTCGGTCGTCGCCGTCTTGGGGCGGCACCGGCGCCGGCAAAGCAGGTACGAGCCGCCGGCGCTGAGCGCCAGCACCGTCAGCGGCAGACCGAGCGCCAGCAGCAGTAGCGCCGCCGGCGGCGCGCACCACAGCTGGCCGGCGCTGAGCGTCGACAGCGGCTGACCGCGCAGCGGCGCCGGCGTCGCGCACAGCACGTCCGGCACTCGCAGACCGTCCACAGCGGCGCGCAGCCACAGCAGCGAGCAGTTGCAGCGCAGCTGGTTGCCGCGCGCGTCCAGCCAGCTGAGGTTGGCGGCGGCCGGTGGCTGCGGTACGCCCTCCAGCCGGTTGTGCTGCAGGCCGACGCGGCGCAGGCCGGCGGGCAGCAGCCGCGCCGGCAGCCGCTCCAGCCGCGAGTTATTGCACAAGTGTAGTGTGTGGAGCACCGGGCAGCCGGCCAGGGCATCAGCGGCGACGCTGGCCAGCAGCGGGCTGTCGCAGAGGCGCAGCTCCTCGAGCAGCGGCAGGCCGGCGAGCGTGTCGCCGGGAAGCGCCGCCAGCCGGTTGTTGCTGATGTCGAGCTGACGCAGGCTGGGTGGCGGCGCAGCGGCGGCCAGCGTCAGCAGCCGGTTGCCGCTGAGGTCGAGCCGGTGCAGACCGCGCAGCGCGGCCAGCCCGCGCGCCTCCGTTAGTCGGTTGCCGGAGAGGTCGAGCGTGTGCGTTCCGGAGAGCGGCGCGCCGTCTGGCGCCGGCAGCGCCGCTAGCTGGTTGTTGCAGAGGCGCAGCTCACCGACGGTGGCCAGCTGGCGCAGCTCGGCGCTGCCAACGCGCGCCAGCCGGTTGTCGCAGAGGTCGAGCTCGGCCAGCGGCGGCAGGCCGCGCAGCGCGCCGCCGGCCAGCGAGGTCAGCCGATTACGACTGAGGTCGAGCCGCCTCAGGCCGGCCAGGTCGTCGAGCGCGCCGTTCTCCAGCCGCGCCAGCCGGTTGCCGGCCAGCGAAAGGCTGGTCAGGCGCCGCAGGCCGGCCAGCGTGCGGCGGCGCAGCTCGGTCAGCAGGTTGTCACCCAGGTCGAGCTCGACCAGCCGGCGCTGGTGCTCGAACGTCTGTTCGGCCAGCTGGCTGACGGCGTTGCGGCTGAGGTTGAGCGACACGAGGCGGGTGTAGTAGTCGAACGAGCCGCGCAGCCGAGCGATCCTGTTGCCGGCGAGCGAGAGCCGCTCGACGCGCGGGTTCAGCTGGATGGGGAAGTGCTCAAGCCGGCCGCGCTCGCAGCTGACCGTCAGCGCCGTGTGGTTGCAGTGACACTGCGCCGGACAGAGGGCGGCCGCGTGCCAGACGAGCAGTGCCAGTGCCAGTAGCGGTGCCGTCGTCGGGACCAGCATCGCCTCCTGCGGCGGCTTCATCACGCGACGTGGCGCTGCATCCGGACTGGCGGGATGGCCCGAAGAAGTTTTCCGCGTGCGGAGCTCACTCAGTCCAGGCCTCAAGCACTGCAAGCAGACTGGATGTCAACGGCAACGCCAGGCTCCACCTGGTGCTCACAACCTGCGAGCAAGCCAGCGCGTGAGGAAAATAACCGAACGTGGTCGGGATCACGTGAGTTTCGCAGCACATCTCCTCTGTATTTTTCCTTTGTTCTGTGGGCATAGCTGTCGTGTTTCAAGATGTTCTTCTGTGGTGGTGATGAGGGTCAGCTCGGTTTCCAGCTGCCACCAATGCGACCGTGATTTACTGGCAGCAATCTTGCCGACCGTATTTTGCGCGCGTGATGAGCAAAACTCCTGCAGATTCGGCCCCGAAAGCCCAACGTGTGACAGATATCACCCTGAAAATCGATAAGCTGGGACACACGACCACTAAAAACATCCACTGGCCTGCTTTGATCGCCTCAAGATCAATAATCTGCTGTTCAAACTCCTTAGATGCCCCCTTGATCCCCGACGGTTCCATTTCCTTCTCGGGAGCGGTGTTATCATATTTCGCCAGGCCTCGCCTCGGGCTCCGAGTCGACTTAAGATCGGTGAAGTCTCGCCCTCTGTTGTCGCAGGGGAGGCACGCCCGCTGTAAACACAACGGTGACAAAAATGAAGAAAATTATTCAAATGCCGCAGGGCGGTGATTTTTCAACAATTTCCTAACAACGTCTTGCATGTCCAATAAGAGGTCAGTGATCCTGCGCTTTCTTTTGCATGCGGGATGTTGGGTACAGCGATCGGTGCAGTGGATCATGAATCATCAGCATGACGCACGAACCATGATCGGATCACATCCAAACTGATGCCGTGATGTGGCCACTGCACATTCAGCGATATTGCTGTGTGCATAGATAAAATACCAAATTATGAATTGCCGCAAAAGTTCACTTTATTCTTACCGCCATAGTCGAGCGTTTCACGCGGCGTGGTTTACCTTCGGAATTTGTGGCCGACATTGAGCTCTTGTCTTCGATAAAAGAAATCGTGACGCAACAAGCAACGATACCGCGCATTACAAATGTGAATGGCCCAGTCTAATAGACCAGAGAGTGTCCTGCCTTTGGGGAATACAACTAAAACACACTCTGGTGAGACATCAGGACCATTAACGCCTATTAAAAGTCACCACAGTACCATCAATATGTGATGCTGATATCAATCTTAATTATTTGTAAGTCGAAGTCACGCCGTGAACGCTTTGTAACAGCACTACTCTTTTTGCTTGCTAGGAAGCTCCAAAGCGTATCCCGAGTTCCCGACAACTGCAGTTGTCGCGACCGCCTTCATCATGTCAAACGGCGTCGTCATGACGACGACGAAATCTGCTGAGGGCCTTTGTCAGCAGTTACGGGTTAGAAATACCTCTTTTGAGCTGTTTTAACCCGCTGAATTAAGCAGAATTATTTTCTGAGTTAAGCAGAATGATTTCGAGAAATCTGGTATTACCGACGCAGTCGGCCGCGCCTGAGCTAAAAATAAGTGAAAGTACAAACATTTGGCAAACTTCCGCTAATCCCTTCCATCAATACCCAAGGCTACTGTTTCCAGTTACAGGACAAAAAGTGAGAACCAAAAAGTCAAAGGACAAAAAGTCAAATGGCAAAACGTCAAATGGCGAAAAGTCAAACAAAATAAAAGTCAAATGGCGAAAAGTCAAGCAAAATAAAAGTCAAATGCCAAAATGGCAAAAAGCCAAAGGTCAAAAGGACAAAAGCAAAATGACAAAAAGTCAAAAGGATAAAAGTTAAATGCAAAACGTCGAACAGACAAAAGTCACAAGCAATAAAAGTCAAAGGCCTAAAAGTCAAAGGCAAACACCAAACGGGCATTAAGTCCAATGGACGAAATTCAAATATCAAAAGTCATTTCACAAAAAGTCCAAAGGGCTGAGCGTAAAACTGACAACGGCAGAACAGGCTATAAAAATCACTTCCCTGGATTGAACAGGGCTCCAAAACGCACCGTGGGCCTCTGTTAAGGCGTTCACGGGGGGGGGGGGGGGGCTAAGGCGAGAGGGTGGCAGTGTTTGAAAAGCCCGCCCCGCCCAGCCTGTTGGAATAAATCATTTGTCGACTCTGTAACTCCGCGAAAGGAGCACAGGCCGGGCCCTAGCTTTGGATAAAAAGGGCTCTCTCGCGTGGTGGCAGAGCGGGGGCGGGGTTTTTCAAGATGGTTGGGGGGAAGGGGCTGAACAGAGAAAAATGACCCGAATTACCACAAAATATGCGTTCAGGTTTCTCCCCAGATTTGGCCACTTCTACCCAAAATTTTGGGCGACTGAAGCCAAAGTGAGGGGGGGGGGGAGGGAGGCGGCTGAAGCCCTTTCCTCATCCGAACAGAAAACCACACCCTCGGGTAAGCGTCTCAACTCAAGGTGATTTTTCGTGATGTAGTGTCTTGAAGCAACTGAAAGGAAGCTGTCCTTTTGGTAAAGGGTCTTAATATGCGCCCCGGTGGCCGGCTAGGTACCCTTCGCTTGGGTGGGGATGGGGAGGGGTCAGTTTGACCCCCTGAGATCTCGGGAACTAAGGGAGCTAGAGACACCAAATTTACAGAGTGTGTACGTTAACTCACTTCAGCCGAAGTTTGAGGTTCCCAGGTCATGACCTTTGGGTCAAATAAGATCAAAAAAGGTCAGATTCCCGGTAGGTCTCTAAAGTATCCCCAGAACCTAGATAACTGTTGCTAAGCAAAATGTTACACGCTCTTTAAGGTGAGTGACCTCGTTTGACCTGTTTATTTAAAACTTTAAAGAATAAAAAGAAACTTTAAGATTACGCTAGGCAGTATGTCTTTAAAAAAGTTGACCTAGGTTATTTTAGGCCAGTGACCTATTCTGACCTCTAAAAAGTCCATGGAAGATGTATAATGCAATTTCTGTCATCAATGACTTTCAAATGAGCACTAGAAACTACCCCATACAGCAAGCCCTAGAGTAATAAAACAGGTTGGCTTTGACCTTGGTATGACCTTCATACCTGACCTTAGGTGAACTTAATTTGCTCAATCAATATTTGTGTTGCCTAAGAAAACATCTCAGAGGTGTATAGCTTCGTCTAACACTCCGTTGTTGCATCAGATTGAACAATTCCCTAGAAATTGACTTCGCTGAAACCGTGGCCTGACTTTGACCTACCATGGGTCAGCGACCTTGTAAGGTACATCTAAATTTTTAATACCAAACGATCCGCTATTCAATTGTTTACAGCTGTGAGACATTTGGCGCGGCTGCGCCACTCCGTTTGGAAACCATTCTGGACAAACCTTGGGGGGGGGGGGGTCAATTTGACCCTCCCACCCGAGCGCGTGTTAACTCACAGTGATTTTTCGGTATATGATGTCTTTTAGCTTATCTGCTTTAGATCCTTTCAAACATAGAAGACCATGGCCCTAAAACAACAATGCTCTCAGACGAGCGGTGCCACGGATTTTGAGCTCTGAAAACACTTTTCAGGTCGTTTCGGGAACACTACATAAAGTGGAGTCTTCTCGCGGAGAATCCTGCTGGGCGAGGCTTTTTAATGGGCCTTTTGAGCTTTGATGGCAAGAAGACAAATGAACCAATTTTATAACATTATCACCATTCTCCATTCAAACCCCTCAGAAAATTGTCATACTTTCCTAATTTGGATAAAGTGAATGCCCCGTTCTCAGTCATTTCGAGTGTTGGGGAGGCACAGGTAATCCCATTTGTAAATGACTGAGACAAATGAAAGAAGAAAATATTGACACATCAGGTGCCTACTAAAATGTTTAAACGGACCTGGTTGCTTGTTAGAAACCGCATTTGTGATTGAACAGGAATAAGTCGTAAAAAGCAACAACTACTGTTAAAAGTGTTCGGCTGATTTTATCAGGCTGTCCGATAAAGTCACAGCTTTTATTATTGTCTGGACATTGACTGTGTCCCAGTATTCCAACAAATGGGACGAGCTGCATAGTTTTCCACGGACTATGCAAGTAGAGACACTTAATGTGGAAGCCTCCGTCAAATTTACGACTTAATGCAGAAAGGGTCAAAAACGCAAATTTGGATCTGCTAACTAAAATGTCGGGTTGGTAAATGTCTCCCTGTTCCCTCCCTGCCACGCCGTCACTGACTACACCCACGACAAAAGGGCCCCTGCAGGCTTGCAAGGGGCCATGCTGCCATACCAAGGAAGCCCAGCCTGAACATAAATGAGATGCACAGGCCTCGCAGTTGTGAAGAGCCCAGGGAGTTCCCTGAATTTGAGCTGGAGATGCCCCGCGCAATGGAAAAACGTTTTTTTTTTAGCTTACTTGCTTCAGGGTTCTCAGGCACCTCCTTCCCTTTGGCTTGGATTTCTTAGACTCATCTTTTCGCTTTTTAAATGTTAGTGAGAAAGACTACAAGGGAAATGAGAGACAATTGGGAAACCTATTGTTGACGTAGTCTTTATCCCTTTTGGGTTTCAACGCTGTGAGATTCTACATTTGAGTGTTCTCTTTTGCCTTTTTACAGTTTAATTTTATCTTTTGACTTTTAAGCAGTTTACTTTTTGCTATCTGACTTGTTATTCTTTTGGCTTTTTGCCGTGTGGCCTTTATCCATTTCACTTTTATCCTTTTTGACGTTCTGCGTTTGACTTTTGCCATTTTCGTTTTTTTGCCATTTGACTCTTTGCCCTTTTCACTTTTTGGCATTTAACTTTTATCCTGTTCGACGTTTTGCCATTTGACTTTGACTCATTTTACTTTTTGTTCTTTGACTTCTTTGCTTTTTTTTTTGTCCGGTTGCAACTGTTCGCAACCCTCCATACCACAGTTCATTCACCACGCCAACAATTTAGGCTTTTGTAAAATTTGCATACATTGCGACACATAAATGCTACGATGCAGTCGCACTTCAAGAAGTTGATATCAATCGAATATTCGTTTGAAAAGGTGTCCAACTATTGAATAAAAAGATAACGAAAACTGCCTCAGTCAACAATGCAGTGTGAATACAATGAACCTGATGGTGATAAAGGCAAGAGTCAATCCGCGTTTTAATT